TTCTCCACCCGCCAGGTAATTGAATTCCCGCCCACCCCCACCCACCCTTAGGGCATCACCTCAGAAGGGGGAGGGGCCACAGTGAATGCCTGAAAGAAAAGAAAAAAAAACTCACTTCAGGGCATAAGTTAGAGACGGCGGCATGAAGGAATTTAGGGTGGGGTGGGGGGATTGGGGGTCATCTGATTGTATAATTTTTTTTTTTTTGTGGGGGTGGGGAGCAGGATCATAAAGTTCACATGAAAAACATTTTGAAGTCCAGCTGCCCGTTATTGGTAATGAGCTGCGTTTAACAAATGAGTGTGTGTGGTTGATGTTTCTCTATCTCTCTCTCTCTCTCTCTCTCTCTCTCTCACTCGCTCTCACACAAGCTTCAACACATTTTTTTTTCTTGTCAGGGGGTTTCGCAGGACAAGCTCTCACTTGATTTTCATACGTCCTGTTGTGATGTAACGCCAATATTTTTAAAACGACTATTAATAGAACAGCGGTAGCTAAAGGGCGTGTGTTTGTGCTTTTGCGGTGAATCATCCAACTGTGTGTGTGTGTGTGTGTGTGTGTGTGTGTGTGTGTGGGGGGGGGGGGTGATGATATCATGGAAGTTCATCCAATCTGTGTGTGATTGACGCCCACCCAACAAGGTTTCAAATCGCCTTATTCGCGCCATCAAATGGCAGCAAAGCACTTTTTGCGCTCGACGAGGTTGGCGAAACGAAGCTCCTCCCTTCATCTCAATAGAGTTCCTTGGCGCCAGATGCGGCCTGAGCATGATTTTTATATTAGACACGGCACGTGTGAGGTTTTTAGCTCATGATGGAGGCGAAGAGATTGGCTCATTATCGCATTCAAATTGACACGGCAATGGGGTTGAATGCAGTTTTTTTTTTTTTTAATTGCATGAGGCTGCAATTTTGCAAAAATAAAAGATTTCACGACAAATGACAAAAAAATTCCGCTTGCTAGAATTGCGTCTCCAGGCCGGGCCTTCTTCAGTCTGCTAATTAGCATCAGCGCCCACCCCGATTCATCGGGTCTCTCCCCCAAATCCCCAGGTGCCCCCC